AATTAACATTACGATGACTTACGAAATATGAAATGATTGATGATGAAAGTAAGCTGGCCATATTTGACAATCCCGGCAACGCCTATTTTATGCGCATCCAAAGCACCTCTCAGGCTCTTACACCAATTCTAACCCCGTAACCAGATACTATAATCCTTTTGGCAGAGGCACAAGTTTTGAGCGTTATTGCGTGCTGACCTTGTTTGAATATTACAACCCCCATTTCGACTTTAATAGCTTTTGTAAAACTCAAAAAGGTATGGAAATTCAGTTTACGGGGTCCATCCACGTGCTATGTTTTTGTGCACAGCATTTTCTTCTGCCCCTGAAACGCTTAAAACGCTCATGAGTAGCATGACATTTTCCAATTTGCAAATGAAGCGCCATTGTCAACTATGGCGGAGGTGGTGTTGTGACAATTGGTGCCGCTCAGCATGCGTACGGTCGCGAGGTCAGATCTCAGATTGAATCTCTACCAGTATAGCGAAGCTTTCTATCATCGGAGTCTGTAACTTGAAGCCAAACTTGTCAGGCTTGGTAAAAAAAATTGACATGCATATCGGCTGCCACAGACCAAATAGGCATTCGGGCTTTTGAATGAGATTGGAATGTGTGGCGCAATCCAAGACTTGATTTGTCAACGTCGTAACTAACTGACGTAACTAACTCTTCATCCTCATGAGCATGGTTGAAGGACTGGTGCAACAGAATAAACGAAATAATTGCCCAGTGATTCCTTAGATGCCAGCTCATACACGTGGTAGCTGCAGGGCGAAGCCATATGTCTGTATTGGTGCATAGTTCCACCACGACGCTCAGGTTATACAAATCAACTTATATGGTATTGAATATGGAATCGGTCTCATATAGAACGATGATAATTTATACTCAAATGTTTTAAACATGACGTCTATGGATATGACCTACAATTGGCGTAGATTTCTTTCAATCTAGGCCGTGGCCGTCGCGCCCTTATCACTCGATGGTCGAGCCAGTAGTCCCCGCCTCCTAGACCGATCAACCGCCCATTTCGTCCTTATAGTATCCTTCCGTATCCTTTCACTTTTTCTCTCGATCCTTACAAAAAGGACGAAATCAATCACCATTTTCTGGTTCATTTGACAGTGAAAGTATCACACTCTACAGTTCAATTGCTTTACCTACACTTTCTCCTTTATTTCTCTAAAAAAGCCATCAAAAATCATTAAACGGCTCTCTAGGCTCACACTATGGGAAACCGTCGAATTTAGCTGTGAATTCAATCTTGTGACCAAATTTCGGAACTTATTCTTATAGACTATACAACATTACATTACCATTCCTACTCCATTCAGATTGCGTAGCAGTAACTCAACTTGTGTTATGCAGGCTTGTTCTTAATACGGTTACTTAATACCAGATCTAATGTTTTTTATGGCACAGTCGTGTAGTGTATATTAAATAAATAAATAAATTAATAAAGAAATAGATTATCTCCTAACTTTGCACTGAACAAGTTATCCTTGCGGTAATACGAGCAGTGAGTCGCTTAGTAAGGGTCAAACGAAAAATGTTCCACTTAACTGTGAAACGGGGACAAGCGTGCTTTCATATGTACAATAGAGTGGTGAATATTGCTTATTTAATATAGAGAAGATATTTCTAAGGAATGACTCGCACGATACGGTACGTTTCTCAAATGTTGGAAGGTAAGCGTGAGATATTGAGTGTGGTTGACGTGCCGACGCGATCCCTTTAATCGCGACTTGATGCGTACACAATGGGACGACCTCTATCGAAAGTACCAATCCTTCCGATTCAAATGCAAAAATTTCACGTCACACGGGGTATTTCACCACCGCTCTTTAGCATTCTGGAGAGATCTATGAGTTTTATTCATCCAGAAACGGACCAGTTGATACTAGGTCTTATTTAAATATTTATTTATTTGAGAGGTTGCTTAAAGGCAGACGTAAAAACTAAAATCACAATCACATACAATCAAATAATCCATATGATCACATTACTTAATAGATTTAATTGCTTAATAATACAATAACTGCTTCTTCGCTTTCTTTTTTGTACAGAACACCTTTTCTTCTCACCTGATTGTAGTCCGTTCAATGAAACCGGAAGGTCCGAACAGCATTTCTTGGACCTATTTTCTTTAGAAACTAACGTGTAGGAGCTGCAGGGTTGGGATAGTTGGCCCGTATTGACTTGCACACTTCTAATAAATAGTTCCACTAATCTGGCAATACGGAACAGATCAGATAGGACACGCGATCGGGAACAGAACGGAGAACAGCCGCCCAATTCTGTATTCACTAGGTGAAAGGATAACGTGGATAAAGTGGGCGACACTTCATAGGTGGGCTATTCTTATTATGCCCTACGCACTCGAATTGCGCTCGTATTCTTAGAAACATTTGAGTGCGTTTTTAGCCTCATGCAATGAATTGTAGGCGTCGGCCGATGTTGCTGCCTGGGCTTGGACGGGTTCGCCTCACCGAAACATGGCGCTTCGTCTTTTAGTCCCTACGCTACATCCACCCAATGTCTTCCTATTATATGCACTTGTAACTCAAAGTTAATAGAAGCTCCCCAAAAAAGACCTAAGCTTTTGCAAAACTTTTGCAAATCACACGCTTTTGCAATTTCTTTTGTAAAAAGTTTTAGAGTCTTTTGCAATAAATTTTTGAAGTCTCACATTGATTGTTACAAATTTGGATCAAAGTAAACATCCAAAGGAGTCTGCTCCTTTTTCAGAAGCTTTTCCAAGTATCTTTTTTTGATATGACGCCTTGGCGAATTCTCTTTCTTATGTTCCCATAGCACCCTCACCAAACGATATACCCAACATCCCCTCCCACCTCATTATGAATATTTACAGTGTGTTCTGCTGTTTTTGCTAATGTCCCAATGCGAACATCGTCACAAAGATGTTGAGTAATCGGTAAAACACCTATCAAGGAATAACTTACCTTATCTTATGTTACCAGCTTTCCTAGTCCATTACAGATTCCATAATATAGTCATGTACTAGATAAATCTAAGAAAAGCTAAGCCCAGAATATTAAGAGAGGGAAGTATGAAAGAAGAAGAGCAGGGCTCGGTCAAACCAAATCATATGATGTTATGCAAGCCAGAGACCGTGAAAAGCATGAAGAAGTTAGGAACCCTATCGGCAGTTAATAACCGAAGAACCTTTTTTGGAAATTCTATTGCGAACCTCCTGTATTTCGAGGCAAAGTACATCTTTTCTCTTTTCGAGCTTCTGAACTGACCCGTGCAACTGCGAATGGTTGTCAGTTTTTCTTTGGTTTCCATGATTCTTACCTTGGTGATTTTTTTCACTTGTATTCCCTCACCCTTTCCTTTTTGTAAATTCTGCATGATTTTTATCCTCGCACGCGGGGTCATTCCTCATAATTCCTGCTTCTGGTACTTTTTTCTTTCACGAGTGATTTTTTCATAAGTCATAAAAAAGCCATATAGTGAACGTCACCGTCATCACAGCCGGAGCGCGGTTTTTAATCACCGTGACAGAGATCCTATTCTAATGTACTCGATGCTGCGGAGGAGGTATCGGCGTCGTTAACAATCCGGAAATACAGACTATTGGGCTAGTCACGCATTTCTCGAGTCGAATTCGAGTTTTGTTTCTCTCATCTTTCCTCCCTCCGTCTCCGACTGAATCATCGACACTGAATATATCGGGGTGCGCTGATCCGTCAGCTACCGCCACACCGCCTCCACTGGCCTCGAACACAGTGAACGTGTTCTTAGCCTAGCCACCTCCAAGGCGTGTCCTCTTCTTTCAATGGCGGCTATCCATGTTTCGACGCAAAGTCCAGCCTTTCATAGCGCATCTTCTTATTCGCTTTATAGCTGAATAGCTTCATCGCTATTCTGACAGCGCTCGTTTAGCCAATAGCGCTTTTCTGCCACCACCCATCACCATTGAGAGGAATCCTATACGTTTGCCCGTGTGTGGCATTTGTTATCAGATACCAATCACATGTTCCTTTACCAATGTGTCGGCGGTGGCGGATTTCTCTGCATCAGATATCAGTAGGTGATAGGATACGACCTTCGACTCTTACAGATTGAACCAATATAACCTCTTCCACAATGGCCAAATCAAAAGTTCTGACGGTCACTTTCCCGTCGCTCTTTTGACATCAAGTCCTCCGTCGCAATTTGACGGGCCCATTAACTCGTTGTCAACAGGAGGTACAGATCACGGATCTTTTTTTTTCATCAGGACCTTGAATTTGTTCACACTCAATGTATCTTCATTCAATGTTTCTCTAAAAATTTGTTACCTATCGCACACCTTCATTTCACAATAAGGATTTCAAGGGATTTAGCCTCCCATACTGCTTTCCAAATCCGTAACAGTAACGATCAATAATCGATCTTCGCACAGTTCTATGTACCCAGCGTTACCTTAGCGTGGAAAGTGATCTGATGGGATTCGCTCCAAAGAGTTTCTGTTTCTATTCTATACGCTTAGAATTTTAAGAAAATATATGTTTCAAGATTTTGGGGAATATTAAGTGGTATTGACAAGCTTTTCGAACATCGAAGAGTGTGATGTGGCCCTGAATACGATCTTTCTAGAGACCACTCGGAAACTTTAGGTAGTCGCTCAAAATATACTGAAAAAAAAACCAAAAATTGTTTGGAAATGTCACGATTCCCAGAAGTTCGAGAAAAAAAGTAAGATTTGTTTTGTTTTCAAAATAAACAAGGCTAGTGGATTTTGATGGATGGTCTATATCAAACATCTCTTGAAAACTACGCCATACATCTGTAAAAGACAATAATTTACATTGATGTCTCAACTGTCCGGTCACTTCGATAGTGACCATCGAATCTAGTTTCTCGTCAGCGACTCTAATTATCTCTAATTCGATCGAGACCGGTTCACTGCAAGCCGAATTTTCGCTTTTTCTAGTGGACCGATCCCATTTCAGAGTCGCTGGTTTTTTTTTGTCTAGAACTGTGTGTTTCAGGAAATGCGGTTACCAACCTGCCGCACATTTCTTGGGTTATGGATTCTGGCTTGTTCGATATCAACTGTTTTGACAGATGATGCTCATGATCGGCACCAACATCCCAGCGATTCTAAAGAACCGTTTGAGTTTACGGACTCCATGGAAGCAGAGACAAATATGACTGCCGCTGTACCAATGCCACATCCAGAACCAGAACCAGCGGCTGAACCGACTCCCGAACCTCATCATCCACATCCAGCATCTAAGCCAAAGGCGGGCACCGATCACACCCATCCAGAAGCCAAGCCTGAACCTCACCCGGAACCAGAGCCAGAGCCACATCCTGAGCCTGAACCAGAACCATCATCAGTGAGGTCTACTCCAGTTCCTGAACCTGAGCCGGCAATCAAATTCGATAACATAAAATCAGAAGATTATGGAGACGTTGTAGAACTGGTAAGTCCTAATGACTCCTACGCGCTTGATGACTTTATTCATTCTTATTGCAGAAGAACCAGCCTGATGAACTTGACACCGAAGTGATTGAACAACTCGTCGACAGATTCCTTAACACCGGTTCACTTACAGTACGTTTCTAGTTTTTGGCCGAATTGGTAGTAACCAGTCACACAATGCAAATGCCTATACCTTTTAGGATAAAAACGCACCAAAATCTGCTAACCCTGCTGCTCAAGCACTTGTTGGCAGCAGCAGTTATTGGGACACAGATGGAATCAAGGTGAAATTCTAATCTATCAGTATAATAAATAGATATGACTTTGAAAAATACAGTTTTGAGCAAAATAAAAGAAACGTTATTAGAAATATTTATTGTTCGAGTGCGAGAAATACGTTTTTTCAGGAGCCCGGCTCAATCAAGGATGAGGTCATTATGAGAAAATGGATCGAGGGCTACCAAACTGAGGCGCAAAAGGTGCATACTTCTACGAAAATTTCCACATAAATGTTTTTGATTCAAACATGAATATTCCGGAAAACCACCCTACTTTTGCAGTTTTAGTGGTTTCAAAAATTCAGTAACTGACTAAAAGGTATCTGTTGAACTAGGTTCGCTTTGAGTTGTGAGGAAAGATGTTCCACCGAGAGTCTCATTTTTCAATAAGGAAGTGTTGATTATTTTTATTTCGCTTCTTTTTTGCTTATTGATTAATCTTTTGAAGTTTTTTTTTCGAGATCGTTAGTGAAGAACAATTTCACCCAGCTCAATAATTTGAGTTAACATTCTTATTTTGGATATTTATCAATTATCAATAATAGCGTAAGCAATACCCGTGTCCGGTGCGTTCAGCAATTTCTTTAGCGAGATTTTTGACTTATGTTTTTTTTGACATTTCGACTCATTTAACTTGTGACATTACTCTGACATTACTCTTATGATAATTGGGAGATTCTGTGCTAGATTACACAGACTGATAGTAGGACAGAAGGGCTATAAGAGATGGAAAAACCCGCAGACGAGCGGAGGGGGGGGAGAGATAGGCAGTCACGGAAGCCGGCGAAAGCTATGTAGTGAATGCAGATTTTTGTAGTAAGGTCTATTTTTCAAATAATTCTGCTTATTGAAGGTGCTAAAAGAAGTTGCTGCTGCCGGCTGGAAGTATTTCAGTCATGCATCACAAGGAGCTAAGCAGAGTTTGAACGAAGCTGAACAGGTAGCTTGCCTTCTTCAATTGCTTGATCAAAAAATGTATAAATGAAC